CCGGAGATCCAGTTTCGTAAAGATCCGTGCCTGGGAGATGGCATCCAGAGCGGTAGTGAGGAGCGGCAGAGGATGGCGGTCCTTGACCGTGATCTTGTTCAGACCCCGATAGTCTATGCAGGGGCGAAGATCGCCTTCCTTTTTCTTCACGAAGAAGAAGCCAGCGGCACCCGGAGAGGAGGAGGGTCGGATGAACCCCTGCTGGAGGGCCTGGGCGATGTATTCTTCCATCGCTTTGGTCTCGGGAGGCGCGAGAGAGAAAAGGCGCCCGCGGGGAGGACTGGTTCCGGGTAGCAGCTTGATCTCCATATCATATGGCCGGTGAGGTGGCAGGGAGGTGGCGCGCCGCTTGTCGAACACCGCGGCCAGGTCCCGATAGGGCAGCGGCAGGTGGGGCGGTGTGGAGCCGGGGCCCCCGTCCGGAAGACCCGCCGAGGATGGAGGAGGAACGAGGTGGGTCTGGCACGAGGTCCCCCAGCCCAGCAGGCGGTTCTGGGACCAGGAAATATGAGGGTCGTGGAGACGGATCCAGGGGAACCCCAGGATTAGAGGAGAAGAGGGAGCAGAAATGACCAGGAAATGGAGGGTCTCCTGGTGGCCTTGGGTGATCATACGGAGTGACTGGGTTCGGTCTCGGACTGGGTAGGGTTGGAGAGGCCTACCGTCCACCGAGGTCACTGGTATAACTCTCTCCAGGGGTTGTAGGGGGATCCGTAGGCGTTTTGCCAGATCTAGGTCCATGAAATTGTCCGCGGCTCCCGAGTCCACCAATGCGTTTACGTGGAGTGAGGCCTTACCATGGAGGAGGGTGACAGGAATAAGGAGACGGTTAGTAGCGACAGGGGTAGAAGAAGACCCAGACTGATCGACCCCAATACTCAGTGGGGCCCCCCGTTTCCCGATCGTAGCGGGCAGTCCAGGCGTCGGTGGTCGGGAGAGCCACAGTAGGCACAGAGGCCCTCGCGCCACCGTCGTTGTCTCTCCTCGGGGGGAAGGTGGCCGAGCTGCATGGGCTCCTCCGCCAGCATGGGTACAGGAGCTGGCGTGGGTGAACGAGGGCGAGGCACCGGCGTCCTGGGTGGACGCGTGGATAACTTGGGTCGAACCAGAACCCGCTGGTCGATGCGCAGCGCCAGATCAACCACCTCATCCAGGGTCTGAGGCAGCTCCCTTCCCGCCAACTCATCACGGATGTAGGGTGCCAGCCCCTCCAGGAAGGCGGCCCGCAGAGCGGAGTCATTCCACTGCAGCTTGGCGGAGATGGTGCGAAACTCCGACGCATAAGCGCACACCGAGCGTTCTCGCTGGCGGATTTTGAGAAGGCGTGTCTCTGCTCCCACTTCGCTGCTGGGGGGAACAAAGGTCTTCCGGAGAGCGGACACAAACGCAGCATAGTCGTTGCAGGCAGGGGATTTGGAATTGTAAAGCGCAGCAGCCCACTCCGCGGCGCGTCCGGAGAGCAGGGAGGTGAGATGCGCCACTCGGGAGCACGCAGATGGGTAGCGTCCAGGTTGGCACTCGAACTGCATGTCCAGCGTGGCGAGCAGACCATCGGGGCTCCCCGTCTCCCCGTTCCACCTCTCCGGCAGGCTGAAGTGGGGCTCCTCCCTAGGAGCAGAGCGGGTTGGCTGCTGGAGTGCAGCGATCTGTTGCTGCTGATCGTTTGCCTGTTGTTGGAGAGCCGTGAGAGCCGTGGATAGACGCAGGGTGTTGTCGGACAAGGAGTTCACCTTGGTGTTGAGCTGATCTACCATGGAACGCAGCTGCACGTTCTCGTGGCGGAGACGATCGATCTCCGTCGAATCTACTCGGATCTCAGTCATCCTGTCAGGCTGATCAGACTGGATGAAGGAGACGAACAAGGTGAGACGTTTAACAGTTTTATTATTTCTCTGGTCGTATCTCTGTGAGGAAGAAACGATGACTGAGATGAGAAGCCGGTCACGGCGTCTTCCATATATAGCCTTGCTTGGCTGTGACGTGGAGGGAATCCCCGCGAGGAGCACGCTGGGAGCTCCCCACGAGGGGCATGTCGGGAGTTGTGGTCCGAAGGTCAGCCGGGAGATACCTGAGTCCTGACAGAGTGCGTGTGTTATGAATAACTTTGGTTTTCATTAATCACATATAACAGCCTGCAGGAGGTCCAGTAGATGGTACTTATGCTGAATCAGAGAAGGTTTGGGGCAGAAGATGCTAAGAGTTAAGAGTTTTATTATGATTATCTTATCAAGAAGGTGGAAATAATTAATACAGACCCGTTACGTTTACTGGTTCAGCCAGTAGTTCAATTTTTTGGTTTATTATTATTATTATTATTATTATTATTGACTGAATGCACCAATCAGCTTTTATCCACATAGAAGAAGGATCACACGAGATATTCCTGCCCTTTATCCCCATAATTAAATTTTCAAATGATTATTATGGAGCTTAAAATAAACTAGTGTTACTTAAATAATAGTTTGATTATGCGATGAAAAATCTACAATTAATTATTAACATCTGTTGTATTTCTTCACTCAACACCCAAGATATTTTTGTTCTGATTAAATCATCATAAACAGCCTATGCATGTGATGAAAACTACAAGATGATAAGAGTACCTGCAGCCCAATACATGATCAGAGTAAACATAAAAAAAATAAACCATGCAGTTTATTTATGAACTTCTGATTTAAGAGCAGAAATTCACTGCAACCTTTGAGTTTCTTTTCAAAGAACAGCCGTTACATGTGAGTGATATTTTACATCTTTATGATATTGTTAGGCCCAAGTTCAGTTTCTTTGGTCACTCTGTCATCAGTGCAACAGTGCACTTTGGCTGCTTAATGTTTAGAATTTTATTGAACAAAAAATTACTAAAACTATTGCTTTATAGTAAAGCTGAATAAGTCTATGTTATATTATTTAATTAAAAATAGGGGCACACCCTTTTTTTTAGAGGTAATCTAACAAAATGTGTTTAAAATGTTCCTCATGCTGAGTTTGATTGTGAAACTTTAAAATAAATCCATAGTTAGTTTTATTATCTCCACAATAAAATGTTTTGAATGCTGGAACTCTGTGATGCATTAAGGTGGAAGAAAAATGTTGATCTAACATCTGAAAGTAAAAGATCAACGGAAGCATCTCACCAATTTGAATAGTTGCACTTTACATCTTGTTTTGGTGGTTTTGGTGGGCTGTGGTGTGGTGCAGACAGGCAGGACCCGCTGCATGACAAATTAATTATGAGCATCCTTGCCTCATAGCAGAGTGTTACGATAGTGCACTATTAAGCATTCATAGACTATTAAATAAAGTATTAACTGCTTAATATTAATGTTAATATTAGTAATGCATTACTAAGAGAACCCTCCCAGCCCTTTATATTACTAAAACAGCAACGTTAACACTTTGATGCATGAATTAGGAAATTCAACCATTATTTTTTGAACATTTTTTTTCATCCACCTTAAGGTATGACTGGAACAAATTTCAACAAATTTTTTTTCTTCAAAATTTATCTTACAATTAATTTATTACATGTCTACCTCAGTGGACAGCGTGCGCTCTGAACATGAAATATGTTGGCCTAACTTACTAGAGTCCAATGGGGAGGGGGGCTCAAATGCAATAAAGTCTAGCTGTGCTTAATAGCAAAATAAAAAAAACATTTTTGAGTAGCTGACCACTGCAGTGACATTATAAAGGGCTTGTTTGTTTATTAATGCTTAATAATGCACTAAGTAGCGTTAATAAAGGGATCTGTTGTTTATTAATGCTTAATTATGCACAAAGTCACATTAATAAAGAGATCATTTGTTTATCCATGCCTAATAATGCACCAAGTAATGTTAATAAAGGGACCCTTATTGTAAAGTGTTACCATATCCCATTGTGATTTAAAACCTCTTTTCCAAGTTTATCACACATTTTCTGTTAGTATAGAAAAAGTCCAGCAGTTTCCTTTCAAAATCAGTAGAAATTTTCCTAATTTATTAAAAAAAATTTACATTTCATTCCATAAATTGCAAGTTTTCTTTCGATGCAGTTGTCATAACAACAACAGCAACAACAATATCAATAATAATGATTTCAAAACTATTCAAATAAATCAAATGTAGCAAAAGAACCTGCCCACATTTTATATTTTCATTCAACCCTTTACATAATTAGCAGCCAGTAAAGTACAATAAATTAATTTTCTTTATTACTGCGACCAGATGTTTACTTTTATTTTTCACATCAGTACGTAAACTCACCCCACTCTTCAATATAAGTCCAAGGTCAGTTTGACCCTAGAAACTGTCATCTCTCTCTCTCTCTCTCTCTCTCTCTCTCTCTATCTCTCTCTCTCTCTCTCTCTCTCTCTCTCTCTCTCTCTCACGCACGCACGCACGCACGCACGCACGCACGCACGCACACACACACACACACACACACACACACACAGAGATAAGTTGGGAACAGTTGACAGAAACAGACAAAACTTTCCCTGAAACAGGATTCTGGTGTCCTTCTCCCCCGTCTGTCTGCTGCATTTCTGTCTGTGTCGATCTGCCCTCTGTGTACTGATTCGTCCCTCCAGTGTTATTATGATTCAACATGAGCTCAGCCTTTCTCCAACCAGTGAAGGTGTGTGTCACTGATCGCATACTTTCACACATCAGTCTTAGATTTAGGGCTTTTTTGTTGACAACGCTCTATTTTTCTGCATTCTCACAAAAAATGCTGCATTTTGATTAGAGAAGAAAGTTTTTCTGTCTTTTCTGCCCACTTCACTCATTATGTAATTCACTGGCTTGTTGTTAAAGATGAAATATGGCAAGCAGAAAGCAGACCTTTATTGCTGCTTTTGAGGATATCATTCATACTTTTAGACTGTACGAAATGAAATGTTAAATTTATTTAACCAAGTTACGTCATCTTGTTCCAATAAAAGCTACCTAATTTAAATATTATGTGTTTGTAAAAAGTAAATTTAAAGGTAATTTTGTGATAATTCGTTATGTCTCCAGAGTCCTAGTTGGCGTGCATCTGCTGCGACTTGTGACATGCATTCCCCCTGAGATCCGTGACGCCTCCTTCAGCGGCGTGGTGGCAGGATGCCAGTGCAGGCAGCCCAGTGGACAGAATTCCTGTCCTGTCCCATCTGCTACAATGAATTTGACAGCAGGAGCCACCAGCCCATCAGCCTGGGCTGCTCCCACACGGTATGCAAGACGTGCCTCCACAAGCTGCACCGCAAGGCCTGCCCCTTCGACCAGACGCCGATCAGCACCGACATCGACCTGCTGCCAGTCAACTGCGCCCTACTGCAGCTGGTCGGAGCCCTGGTGAGGCGGTCGGATGGATTTCCTGTTAGCTGACTGTGAGACAGAAACAACTCACCGTGTGTTGTTGTTGTTGATGCTGTCAGGTCCCAGATGTTCCACCGGTGAGCCTGAGCAGTGCAACAGATGTTGAGCACTATGAGGTCTGCAGACTGTGTGTGGAAGAGCTGGCTCTCTACCTGAAACCTATCAGCAGCGCCAAAGGTACTGTGTGTGTGTGTGTGTGTGTGTGTGTGTGTGTGTGTGTGTGTGTGTGTGTGTGTGTGTGTGTGTGTGTGTGTGTGTGTGTGGTGTGTGTGTGTGTGTGTGTGTGTGTGTGTGTGTGTGTGTGTGTGTGTGTGTGTGTGTGTGTGTGTGTGTGTATGATGGAACATTTGGGCATTTGTGGAAAAGAATTGAGCTTTTCAAATTCAGTGTGCGGGGGCCGCACTTGAGCTGCCTGTGTGACTTGGCATTCAGACTTATCACACGTATCCTGGTGCTGCAAGCTTCTGCGCTTTAATGAAATTTGCAAGAAAATAAAAGTACAATAAGGAAGAATTTTACAGTCAAATTAACCCCAAAACGGTCTAATGTCATAATTATATTGGAAGGCAGGTAGGGTGACCAGATCCCAACTTGCCAAATGTGGGACAGAGACTACTCAATGTGGGACAATGAGAAAACAAACAAGCAAAACGTATAGTTTTAGCCCTAATAAAATGATTATTCTTATTATCATCATATGTTTATTGTATATATTTTATTTGAATTCAACATTAACAAACATACAGCAAAAGCTTTACTCTTTCACAGTTTCTCTCAAGTTACCACAACATAACTCTGTAGTGGCTCTGATCATTTTAATAATATAGATAGGCCCACAATAATAAAAATGTAGGTTTAAGCAGCTTTTCAGAGTTTTCATTGAATGTTTTCCACAACAGAATGACAGCAAAAGTACCAGTAATTTTTTTTAGATCTATTTATGTTTGTTTTTAATTAATTTTCCACTAAAATCAGCATCTCATAGAAAAAATATCCACACTTTTTAGCAATTTTTTTCGTAATTCAGAAACAAAACATTTTTTTAACATGACAACAAATTTCTTCTAATTTTAGGTGAGAGAATAAACAGATTCTCATCTCTAAAAATTCTGATCTAATAAGAGTTTCTTACTATAATTTTTCGCCTCAAATTTCTGAGAATAAGTGATCAAAGCTTCCATTTATTCTCATTATTTCTTTACTGTGCTTTAAGGGGCTCAGCATGTACGCAGGTCTCTGAAACCGCAGCAACTTGTCCATGTTAGAACCTCCATTGTGTTCATCATGGATCTGTCTAATAACTGGAAAACCTGCTTTTGACCTCTTCATATCAGACTCCGCATCGAGACATGAAAAAATGACTGAGGAACAACAAAGACTCTGTCGAGTATCTCTGAACACGTTTAATTCACAAGTTTACAGCATTTTCTCCCCCATGCTCACTCACGCTTGTTTTGGTGGTTCGGGGGCACTCCACACGCGCTCTGGACATGCGTTAAAGTCCCGCCTCCGCTTGATTGACAGCAAAAGTCAGATTTTTCCAAAGTTTCTTTTATGAGATTGAAACTCAAACTGGAAACTGTCAATAATGCGGGACACGAGTCTCAATTTGCGGGACACGTGAAAAGTCATGAAAATAAGGGACTGTCCCACACAAAGTGGGATATCTGGTCACCCTAAAGGCAGGTAACATTGAAACACATTTCCTTCTCAGCCGGCTGGGGGGTTGTTAGTTTCTCTTTTAAAAAGGCAGATGAGGGACATGGTCATTGTTCACAATCTGTCACCTGACCTCCTGGTTCCAGAGCCAATCATGTTTGAGCATACAAGGTTGTCAAGTGTTCGTCAACATTTGTAATTTGACACCACCCGGCTAAAAAACAGCAATGCTGTGAATGTTAGAGAATGTTAAAGAATGTTAGTCAGTAACAGGAGCGACCCAGAAGTAATTTCTTTCCCTGTAGTCAATTTCTCTCAGGGATTAATAAAGTATTTTTGAATTATTTTACCCCTAAGAAGTCATGACATCTTTTTTTTACTCTAACATCACGTAAAGAAGGCCAGAGGCCAACGTTGCACCAACAATGCCAATGATGAATAAGAAAAAAAGCAGTCTGCTCTCAAAATATCTCACGCTACTTTTTCAGTCACCAACAACTGGATATTACAGTGAAATGTTTTATTTTATTTTTTTTTACTTATCAACATATTGTGGATGATTCATCTTTGCTCATCATCTAGAACCTTCTGGTGCTGAGCTGTACCTGCCAACAGTCGCTCAGAGCGGCCTTGTTTTTTTATACACAGAGTGCAGTACCCAAATTTGACCACAGGATGTCATTCTTTCTTTATTCACTTTTAAACTTTATGCATTAATAGATTATAATTATTATTGTTAATGAAAACAGACAAATCTAGTTAATGATGACACATTTATATGCTAATGGTGTCATTCGGATAATTTACACTTGATTATGTTTAAGCTCCTCAGAATCGTGAAAGAAAAAAGAAGGAAGCTGGCACATAGAATAGCCCTCAGGCTTAAACTGTGTTAGGTGAATAAAGTAGGTTTATTGTTGTATAGCTTGAACTCATTCTAGATGTTATGTCATAATTAGTCAAAGGTCCCTTGCAACAATCTACAGATGTTGATGATTTTTTTCTTTTGGCCACTTCCTGCAGCTGTGGCTAACCTCACTCCGAGCATGCTCAGTCGGCCCATGCAGAGAAAGCTGGTGACCCTTGTGAACTGCCAGCTGGTGGAGGAGGAGGGCCGAGTTAGGGCGGTGAGAGCAGCCCGCTCCCTGGGGGAACGGACAGTAACCGAGCTCATCCTGCAGCACCAGAACCCCCAGCAGCTTTCGGCCAACCTCTGGGCAGCAGTGAGGGCGCGGGGCTGCCAGTTTCTGGGACCTGGTGGGTACGAGTGAATAATAAGAAAACTTCTTCACACGGGCAAATAAATGTGAGAGATGCAAACAAGTTTGCCATTTAAAATAATAAGTACTTTTTAATTGTTTACAAAGAACATAACTGAAATTCAGTCTGGCTTTAATTAAGATTTTTTTTGTCGTAGCTTTTAAAGGTATAATAACTTGCTGTGAATTTATTGAAACAGTCTTTGTGTCCAGTTAAACGTTTTTGGACTTGCTGAATTTACTATTGCTTAGTAGCTCAATTAGAATCTAATAACTGATTATTTGATTAATCTTGGTGCACAGCATCTGTTTGCATTTCTTTTGTGGGGAGTGTTCTCTGCAGCTTAAAAGCTGCAAAGGTGTCAGATTCAGAGTTGTTAGCTGGTCTTCAGTCCCTCAGTGAATCCAATAATTGGGTTTAAATTTCTCCGTATCTTGCAGTAACTTTCTCCAAGTTCACACCCATTATCGCAGCTGGAACCTTTAGCTTGTTATTAACATTGAGCAACATCTGAGTCTGAGCAGTCCCCGCCCGACTGAGACTTTCCTTAAGTTCGGGTGGCACTCCAATCCCCCCAGACTTTCCAAATTTCTCAAATACCAGAAATTCTCTCATTTCAATCAGAAGAAATCCAGTAATCATAAATCCAAAAATCTATGCGTCTTCAACGTCTTCCATGGACAGCTGGGAAAGGCAGATAATATTCCACTCCTTCCAGGAATCCAAAATATACCCCACCGGGTGCGTTCCATCTGGACAAGAAGATAGAGCCCCCCGCTCCGTTCTCATTGAAAAAATCTTGTCAATCGCATGGAATGACCAGCTAAACAAATCCACGATTTAATAAAAATTTTAGATTTTTGTAGAAAAGCAGAGAAGTGCTCTAGTACAGACAGGACAAGAACCTTGGCAAAAGATAAGGGAGAAGAGATAAGAGAAAAAGCGTCTGTGCTCTATGAATACCTGAAGAAGTAGTAAGAGAAATAAGAAATGGTCATCTATCCCTATTTCCCGCATTAGCCGCAGATAGACAGGAAACACTCGGGTCAGAAAAGCCAATAAGATCTACGTCAGTTTGAAAATTAAAGTTTATGGACTCACCCATCTTGGCCCATGACTGGGAAGGCTGCTGTTGGTTTAGTGTCCAGGGGAGAGCAGAGATTGTTCCAGCTAATAGAAGTAACCAACAGAACTCCTTCAGGCTTGTGTTATTTGTGGAGATAAAACATCAACGTTGCAGAACAAACGGAAGCAGTGGAAGAGTTGTGTTGTCGTCAGCCAATCAGTGCTCAGATGTTCATATATCCGGAAATAAGACTCCAAATCATTTTCTGGCTAACTACTATCTGAAACAGAAGCACCAGACCATTTTCCCACAGAGCTTGACGTACAAGACATTCACCTACCTGTATACTAGAGACCACTGCAAATGTATTTAAAAAACAAGTGAATGGGTCCAACCCATTATTGGCATGGTGCAATGAAAAATGTAGTTTCACTTTGATGCAACATTAATATCCTTCAACAAAGTGAGTCAACAAAACAAACCTAGATTAAATAAATACAAACTTTTGTCAGAAAGTACAATGTTAGAGCAGAAAACTTATTTCACAAGTGTTTTCTTTTGTTAAATGTGCTTCACACCACAAATATTTCCCATCTTTACTTGTGAAAAGTGGAAAAATTTATGTCTTTTCAAACTGGTGTCCCGTGATGATTACTCATAGGGCAGATTCTGACTGGGAACGAGTTTCTCATCATGATAACAGAACGAGTTCAATGAGAAGACTGAGGACACCTGTTTGTGTTAGAAAGTATTAAGCTTTCTATTGTTTGGGTCTGATTGCTCAGCGGTGACTGAACGTGTCCTTTCAAACATTTCTCACTTCTTCATGTCCTCTTTTACTCATTCTGCCTTCTTCATTCACCACCTGTTGTCATCCTTCACTCCACATTCCTCAGCAATGCAAGAAGATGCGCTGAAGCTGGTTCTACTGGCTCTGGAGGATGGGTCTGCTCTCTCCAGGAAGGTGCTGGTTTTGTTTGTGGTCCAGAAGCTTGAGGCTCGGTTCCCCCAGGCATCCAAAACCAGCATAGGCCATGTGGTGCAGCTCCTCTACAGGGCCTCCTGCTTTAAGGTAACATGTATGTGCACATTTACTGTAATAAATAATATTTGTAATAAAACTTCAGTTTGAATTGTAAAAAGTAGTATACCACAGCTGCTGTGGACATCAAAATCTTACAAGTCACCAGTTTGAGGCTGCCTTGAGAAGTTCAGTAAAAAAAAAGTTCAGTCGAGTTCAAATCAAAGAAAAGCAATATTTTCTCCTAACGTCAGTCCAAATCCTACTTCACACTGGAAGCATCAGCGCTGCGGAACAGCAGCGGAACGTCTAATATAGTCTGTGGGGGTGATTCAAACCAGCCTCGACGCAGACATTTTCAGGCCAGAAGGCCCAGAAGCGGCTCGCTGCACTGTGCTGCTAAAGACGGGATGGGGATCTATATTTCCTGTGAGATGCTTCTGGGACACGTCAATTTCCGTAGTTAACATGGGGCTAGACAGGAAATCACATACGGTTTCAATGTAAAACCGGTAATTTTCAAAATAAAAGACTATTTCAGCGATGCAATTTTATATCTATGTAGTTTATGTCATTACATGTGACCTAAATACTTATTTACTCCCAGCATCGTTCCAGAAGTACAACGGTGCATTTTTCATGGCTTTAATTCTGGCAGCGGAGGAACACCATCACATATGGCATCAGACAACAATATAAAATGTGATTTTCTTCTTTTTGGTTTAATGGTGGATGGCATAAACAAACCATAACCTTTGAAGTCTCGAGAGATTTAGCAAATTTGCATGTTAAACAAGCAGCATGGCAGATAATTCGCTCCACGGCTGACGTTCTCCCCGTGTGTACTGGTACACAGTGAAAGTCACAAGTAAACCATTCTGCTGCTGTTCCGCTCTGCTGATGCTTCCAGTGCGAAGCAGGGGTAAGTGTTTGGGACTGAAGTCTGTAATCAGGATATTATCATCTGTAAACAGTGTGTGTGTGTGCGTGTGTGAGTGTGTATTTCTGGACCTGCAATCTGATAACAGACATTGCTGGTAGGGCAGAAATGCTAGCTATCTTCATGTGATGTAACTGTCATCTATATTTGCCCCTCAATGCCCCTTTTGGCTGGGCAGAAACAGATCCAGATGATAAGAATATGTGCAATCAAAGAGAAGTATATGACCACAGTCATCAATTCTTGTCATGTGTCTTGCCCGTGTATGTCTGATCTCTGAATTGTGTGTACTGAAACTCTAATTTCCCTCTGGGATTAATAAAGTATCTTTGAATTTGAATTGATTTTGAATGAAGTCAATAGGCAATACGCCACAGACCCCCTGCACTTCCTGCCTTTTTGGCCAGCTGAATAATTTCCAAGTCACAGTAACTGTTCTATAGGGTTTTTGTACGCTATTGCTACAGGACCTGCCGAGAATAATGATCAACAACGTACACAGGATAATTTAGGCCACATCAATGACGCCACAATCAAAGACAACGGTTTTAAATTGTATGTGTCCACCTACATTAATAACTATGAAGGTAACAAGAGCCTTGGGTTGCAAATTGATACATGCTAACTCTTTACTAGCACAATGAGGAAGCAATGCTAACAACGTTAGCAGAGAGTTAGCATTTAAGAAACAACAAAGACTCATGACCTATCTCTCTGATAACATTGTTAGCATTGCTTCAGTGGTGGCTAGTTTTGGCTAGTAAAGAGCTAGCATGCATCATCACAAGTCAAAGCAGGAGTTTGGCAATCCAACTTCATACATATTGTTGGCGGACACGTCAGGGCTGCCAACTCTCACGCACTGAATGTGATACACACACATTTGACCCTCTTCACACGCTCTCTCGCCACTCGTCCAATATCTCATGCTGATCACCTCCAATCCTGCACACGCGCGCTCTCGCGCATTTAAATGTTCAAAAGTTGGCCGTCTTGCACATAGTTTTTAAAACCTTTGTCTTTATTTGAATGTGGTGTCTTAAACATTGCACTCGTTATCCTGTTGACTATCCTTGGCCGGTCCTGCAATGACAGCTTGAAAAGCGCAATATAGAATACAAACAGTACTGCAACCCAGAAGTCATTCAGCTGGATGAAAAGTCAGGAAGCGTCATAACGGAGGTTCGTGGCATAGACCCTGTTGATCTAATTGTGTTTTATTGTGTTTTAATGTTGGCTGTGTGGGGTGTGTGTGGGTGTGTGTGTTGGTGTCTTGTGATGATTACTCATAGGGCAGATTCTGATTAAAAGAGAAAGTCTCTTTTCATGATCAGAATTTGAGTTTATGAGTCTGAAGACCCCAGAAATCACATGTCTCTGACATTTAACTTGCACATTTATAGTTAATGAAGTAAAATTTAACCTTTAAATAAAACTCGTTTGCAAAAGCTAATCAATTTGTCCAAACAATAAGTGAATACCCTAACCCCAATACCTCAAAAAATGTATTTAAAGTAAACAATAATTAGATGAGTTATTGATGTGTGTTCTACATTGAAATAACTGTTGAAGCCTTTGTTGGACACATGCAAAGATAAATACATACTAGACAACAAATTAAAGTTTTATTTATTGTTGTTTAGATTTTTATTGTGTCTTTTTCTGCATCGTGAATTTTTCTGTCCATCAGGTGACCAAGCGTGACGAAGACTCCTCACTGATGCAGCTGAAGGAGGAGTTTCGTACCTATGAGGCGCTGAGGAGGGAACACGACGCTCAGACTGTACACATCGCCATGGAGGCCGGCCTTCGGATCTCACCTGAGCAGTGGTCTTCTCTGTTATATGGAGACCTGGTCCACAAGTCCCATATGCAGTCCATCATTGACAAAGTACTCCTATTTGAATAAGAATTTATAATCACTTTAATTTTTCATGAGTACTAGATTTATTAAACCAATTTTCACAGTTGCAGTCACCAGAGTCTTTTGCGAAGAGTGTTCAGGAGCTGACGATAGTTCTGCAGAGGACCGGAGACCCTGCCAACCTCACAAGCCTTAGACCTCACTTGGAGCTGCTAGCCAACATAGACCACAACCCTGGTACTTATCTAAGCTTCCAAATAAAAAAATAATAAAAAATGACCACAAATTTAAGAATCAATTGAATAACACAGTGTTTGGCTTTCAGTGTATTTAAATGTAAGTCAGCACTAAGATTATGTGTATTCTGTATTATGCTTATCTGATGCATTTGCTTTGTCACAACAAGCTGAGAAGAGGTCCACTGCAGGCAAATTACACATTTACCATGAAGCAGATATGAATGAGTCATATTCATTTATAAGTATCCTGTTGAAATGTAAAAGATGTAATAGCCCTTTAATCCAGTGATGATGTAAACTATTTACTGAATTAATAGAAAATGCACTACACTGTGTTATTTAGTTATCAGGTAATGAGATAACATATTGGAGAATGAGATTTTATTTAAAAACATGATCGAGTGGAGGCTTTTATTCTGTTTCTTTCTTATTTCAAGCTTAATCAATGCTGTAATATTGCCACAAATTCACATCTGGATTCAGAATTGTCCAGATCAAGCACTAGGATTGGTATTTTCACCACAAACCTTACATATCCAGTCTCTATTACTACTGCCCCCTAAAGGACGATCTACAGGTGGAAAGGGACAATTTTATTTTTGTTACGTGCTAACAGAAGAAAACTGATTATTATTTAGTTTTTTATTAATATTGGTGAATTAATAATTCATTTTAACTTAGTTCTTCATTTTATCAATAATACTTTATATTTCAGTGTTAAAAGGGTTAAACCTAAACCACACATGGTTTATCTCTCCAGTTTTGCTTAAATATTGATGATGTTCTCTTCATTTACAGAGGCATCTTTTAAAATAGCTCGTACCAAACAGAATGTTTATGTCTGTGTTCAGATGCGCCGGTGCCATCGTGGGCAGAGCTGGAGAGTGTGATGCAGGCGGTGAAGCTGGTGGTCCATGGTCTGGTTGAATTCATGCAGAACTTCAGCAAAAAGAGTCACGACACCCCACAGGTACTCCCCGATGGATCAGATCAGCACCAACAGACTCTGGCGTGTCACCTTCATGCAGCACGTTTTAGTCGTCCGGGCTGTGGCATCAAAGGAATTTCTGATGGATATGAAACGCTCTCTGATCACTAACACCACAGCTTTGATCACCTGCTGCAGCAGCAATAAAGTAGCTGTCAACAGTTAGGGAGATAATGAAACTGTGGACATTAAAAGCTCTTATTGAAGAATCAATTAAGTGTTTATTGTGTGTGGTAAGGACTGCAAAGGGTGATGTCTGAGAAGAGATGTTGTTTATTAATCAAAAGGAAAATGAAAAGGAGCATACTTATGTTATTTATACAATATGTTACAGTTTGGAATCAACAGTATTTATTGCAAATGCTGTTTACTTTTATGATTCCAGTTATAGTTTGAGTTTATAATATGGACCTGTGTGGCTGAAACAAATAAATAATTAGAAAACAAATTAAAAAGTTATCACCCTAGAGGACAGAACCTTGATTAACTTCAGTGATAAATGAAAATGTTCTGAACAAGCACTATAAAACAAATAAAATAGAGAATAAGGGAATAAAATGCATATTATTTATAAATCAATGATCAGTTTGAATCAGCTCCTTTAACATAATGAGCTTTACTTCATAAAAAAGTGCAGATTTTTATTTTTACAGCTTTACTTTTCTGTGAAATCATGTAATCAAGTGATTTTGGATCAAATCCATGCAGAGCGTTTTGCAGATAAAGTGCGCGAGTAGATGATAAAAGGCTGAACACCATGCCAACAGACAGGTACGAGACGTTTCTGCATAAAGAAGACTAGAACATTTTTTAATTAATAAACTAAATTTCACAGTAAAATGTGAATGTTTTATTTTTGTTGCAAACCTTATAAATTAAAGTACTTCTTTTTATATTTGAATCTTATGAATGTGACTCATTCGCATTTATTTATAAGACGATATTCCAGAGTCAATGCGTTTGTTGTTAAACCTATTATCTATCTAATGTTTGTGTTATTGTTGTGTTGGTAAGCCTCAAGTCAACAGCAAGTACAAGACCAGCATGTGCAGAGATCTCCGTCAGCAGGGAGGCTGTCCGCGAGGAACCAACTGCACTTTCGCACACACGCAGGACGAGCTAGAGAAGTGAGTGAGCTCTCGCAAAAACAGCTTTTTGACAATATTAATATGAAAATCTCTGAGATAATCCTAGTTTGACTGGTCCGTCCCTGCACACTCACATCCTGCTTCAGTACAAATGACCAATCTGTTCCATTGCGTTTCTCCTTTTATTCACAGATTTAGATTAAAGAACAAAAAGAGCAGCAGCAGCGTGGTCCGTGCGTTCCCGTCAGCCGGTAAAGGCATCAGTGACCCAACGGAGAGCTCGGCCGCCATGACGGAGGGAGTGGCTGGCTTGAGTCACCCACAGCTGATCCCCAGAGGGTCGAGCAGTACCATAGAGGAAGGGAAGAGAGCTTTGTCCAATGGAACCAGTGGGATCAATGGGTCCAACGGTCTCTCTGGGACCAACAGAAACACATCAGGGTCAACAGAGCAGTAAGAACATTTCGTCACTTGACACTCAAAACCTGAAAAGCATAGAAACCAGTGTCATTCAAATACAATGTATGTTTATTTTTATTCAAAAGCATCTAAATGTTTTTTGTTTTGTTTTGTTTTTTGCCAAAGCAAAGTCTATTCCATTTGTTTTGAGGAGAGGTCTCTTTTTATTCTTTATATTTTGTTGTTTCGCTGATCCTTAGGAAGCCCATCTCTCCTGCCAGGCCACCAGTTAGCCTCTCATCAGGTCCGCCTCCATTCGGTGCAGCTCCAGCTGGTGCTGATGGTACTGCTCCAGTGCCTCGACATGGTCAGTTCATCCTCTCCTCACCGCACCCCCCTCAGGTGTCAGAGCTGTACTACCAGGAGTCTCACCCTGCTTACGACACGGCTCACTACCAACCAACCTGTGAGTGTGTGACCACTGCAGAGCATTTCCACCTTATTTTTTGCTTACTTTGTCCAAATTGAGATAATTTCATGTGTTTTTGTTGGTGTTTAAAAATCATTAACAATAGTAATATGTTAAAGACTGAATAAAACTCTGAATACTGTGTCTTGATCAATTATCTTGCCCTAATTAATACTCGCACTTTAAAATAGTTTTATACAGTTTGATCAGATTCAATGTAGACAAAAAAGACAATAGTTTTTTCAGCTGGATTGGTTTCTTCAGTTGTTTTAAGTAAGTTCCAGTCATTCCGGCACCTCTGTGTCTGGCAGGTTCCTACTACCAGTCTACGCTTCATCCTTCCCACAAACCGTGCATGGCTCGCTTTCTTCGATCGGCCAACGTCTCAGAATCCTCTCTGCCACCTTCAGCGGGTTACTCTTATCCGACTGAGCCTCAGATGCCACACCTGCCATCTTCGTCTTCCTCTGGGTACCCAGCACCCCCCCACAGGGATCGGATTGGCGCTCCCGCCTTCCATCCTCACCCGGGACAGCCGCAGTATGGACCTCTGACACCGGCGCACGGTGTTTTTGCTCCTCTCTATGACAGCAGGAGAGTTTGGAGACCTCAGGTGATCCATCTTATAATGATCACATGAAATGTTCAAATCAAGAACTCTGTGTCTTATCTGGTGATGGTTGCTGTTGCAGCTCTACCACAGAGAGGACGCCAGGAGTAACTCGCTGCCTCCAGAGGTTTTGCGTTCCTCCGTCTACCAGCCTCCACTCAGGGAGAGGTTCAACTCTCTAGACAACTACTGTTCTGGAGCAGAGCATCATGCAGCACTGCACAGAGTACGTTCAATTATTAATTCACACCCTACGTCATAGCCGGGAGGAAAACGCTCTCCTGTAACAGCGTTCAACAGGATTGAATCTTAACCCTCTGGAGGCAGGCGTTGCAGATTTGCAACAGTTAAAACCTACCTACCTGGTTACTCCACAAACGTATTTCATGAGCCTTTTTTAACTCAGAAGTACCCCTGAAGGACTTAGTTGTTCGTCCTTTTATCAAAACTTTTATTGAGCCTGAGAGGGTTAAACGCCATCCATCTCTCTGTTGCGGTTAGATGTACAGAGAGCATATTTATATCTACATCTTCTGCCTTTCCTCTTCTTCCTCTTTCTGCTTTTACTCCCACATACCACCTTGTCTCCACCTTCCCTTTCAGCCACATTTCTGCAGCTTCTCCCTCCACTGTGGTCCTCCCACTTCCTCACCCAGAAACATCTCTGCTTCACCCACTCACTCCTCTCTTCCTCACACGCAGCTCTTCACCAGTAAACCTGCCACCATGGCGTTGCTGTTCAAGGGAGCCGTGAATGGCTCCATCGCACCCGGTGAATTTGTAATGGGATTTGTGATTGCTCAAAATTTGAGCAGCAAAGTGGCAAAAGCAGCCCGATGTTTTAACTAAAAATAGCTGAAAAGTGGTCACTTGAACTCTTAACTACTGTGATTTGTCGAGTTCTGGTATGTTTCTTTATAAAACACCTCTCTTATTCACACCACCATTCAGCACATTTAGACCAACAACCTGACATACCTCAAAGCGCTTAAAGTTCTCCACCTGAAGACCTCATCACTTCACAGGCCAGCGTGTTGAGCTTCATTATGCTGTGATAAGAGTTGTTTTTGTTTATTCACATCCCCTCTCTACCAGGACTTTGGACGTGTTCCTCTTGGATACGAGGGTCTTTACAAAAGGAAGCAGGACCAGTGGACTTCCATTCATCACCATCACAATCCCAGCAGGCCCTCCCAGTCTTCCCCAATCTTCACTGATTTTGGAGCGGAGGTAGAAAGTTGAATACCTGAGACGGAATATGTAAACACACACAAGCCCAGAGGATCACAAAGAGCGTCTGCAGACACATCATTTTGGGCCCTGCGAGGGCATTGTGACGTGTTTCCCCACGAGTTTCTGTAAATGATGGAAAAACACAGTTTACAATGACATTTTACAAATTTTAACAAAATTATATTTAATTCCCATCCCAAAAACTCACGCTATCGCTGTGACCAGTGCGATTTGAGATGGAGATTGTTGCCTAGCAACTGTGGAGAAATATATCATACTAATGCACAGTTGTGGCATGTGTGTGGGTGTGTGTGTGTGTGAGAGAGAGAGAGAGAGAGAGAGAGAGAGAGACATGACCAAGCAGTGACTCAGGTATTCAGCTGAGTAAAGTTTCATTGTGTCACATGATTTAAATTATTAATTTTTTTGTGAAACACAAATTTTGAAATCTAAATATAATAGTTCAGAACTTATTAAGTATTTACATGGTAAATGGCATGTATTTGATATTACATCTTCTAGAGTCGTAGAACCCCCCCAAGGTGCTTTACAAAACAATCAGTTATTTACCCATACACACACACATTCACACCCTGGTGGTGATGAGCTACATTGTAGCCACAACTGCCCTGGGGCACACTGACAGAGGCGAGACTGCCGAACACTGGGCGGTCCCTCTGACCACCACCTGCAGGCAAGGTGGGTTAAAGTGTCTTGCCCAAGGACACAGCGGCAGCATTCTCTGTCAGGATCGATCCTACAACCCTCTGATTACTGGACGACCCGCTCTACCCCCTGAGCTGCTGCCCACAGTCCTCTCAGGTTGATTTACAGGTTACATTTCAAATGTCCTAATCGTCCAATCTTGAACAATTACAAAACTCAACAGATCAAACCAAAATTATTAGCTCTGATTTCACTTTAAAGCATGTGTTTAACATGTGAATTACTTAAACTATAGTTTAATTAAAAACCAGTTAAGTTTTAATTTTTTTTTTCAAAATTAAAGTCTTCAGTTTGCAGCAGGGCATCAGCATTGTACAACGTTAAACAAATGTTTGCGTTAGTACAAGAAATCTGTTTATTATTATTATTGGTTTTATCTCGTGTGCATGCTTTCTGCATTTTGAAACCCGTGTCTCCCCTCTCTGAATGTGACAGCGCTTACACCAATGCCATACCTACAATTAAAAGAATCATTCACTTGAGCAGAGCACATTTAACAGAAAGAAAATTTGACAAGACCTGAAAAATATACACTTTTCTACTCTAGTATTTGTTCTCTAATTGCATTGTTAGGTTCTTTTTTAACACAGGAAAGGTTGTTTTACCTTTTTGCTGACAGTTTTGACCACTCCTCCAGTCTTTTCCAGAGCTAGCCGCTAATGACGGAATAAGGAAGTGACGCCGCCATTAGCGGCTAGCTCTGAAGAAGACTGCAGGAGTGGTCAAAACTGTCAGCAAAAAGGTGAAACAACATTTCCTGTGTTAAAAAAAATAACCTAATAATGCAATCAGAAGAAACACACAGTAGGAATACACAAAAGTAGTTATGTAACGTTACCTCACCTCAGAACTAAACACTTTAACCACCAGGAGATATTTTTATCCACTTTTGCATTTTTAAATCAGTGTTATTCTCTATAGATTACCTGTTTTGTTTCTTATAATTCACAACTTTCCCTAAAATGAGTCTACATCATATAATATCTGTAATAAAAATAAAGGAAATGTGATCATTTATACACAGAACTGCTGCGGAAATCATTTTGACCCAATTTACAACTACATTATGGCTGTGTCCAGATGTAGAGGCTGCCTCATTCCACTGTTCCAACATGTAGGCTCTTATAAATGCTTCCTTCTTTTCTTTCCTTTATGGTAATACAACACAATTATGACAAACCCAGATAAAGAAAATAGTAATCATGTTGAAGAGGTAGAGGTCTGGAGATTCAGAAAAAGGAATTTTGCATATGATAAATTTTATTCTTAAACTGACCGTGTGTATTTTCCTTGGCGATAAGGGGCAGTAACCTAAATCATTGCAAGCACACATTTTTGTGTTCAAGTAAGACCTTACCAACAGATGCCCATTAAAGGGACAACGGAGTTTTGAATTTTTATGCTCGCGATTGCCCCTTCAGGCCAAAAGCGTAACGGCAGCTTCAATAGGAGGCTCGTGCACGAGGCGCACATGCTGTAACGAAAATAACAGCTGAGACTCTGTGAAGCTGACAGTCCCTTGTGTGTGTGTGTGTGTGTGTGTATGTGTGTGTGTGTGTGTGTGTGTGTGTGTGTGTGTGTGTGTGTGTGTGTGTGTGTGTGTGTGTGTGTGTGTGTGTGTGTTTGTGTGTGTGTGGCCCGGAGGACAGAGGACAGGAGAACGCGCAGCTAATTAATTAAATAATTTGGCTCTGTACCTTTCTCTTCAGCACAGCCGACAAAGGTTTATGATGGGCCAGTCCTCCTGCATGTTCAGATAATTCCATTCCCTTGCTTAAAAAATTGTTCCAAAATGAAAGTTGAACCCACATCTTTTTTATCTGTGAATTGAATGCCATTCAGCGAGTCTCAAATAAAAATTTGGGCATCTTACTGTAAAAAAATAAATCATTAATGTAAAAAAGAAACTCTAAAACAACAATGTTCAATTCCAGAATCAAACCCAGGACTTCTGCACGGAAGCCCAAAATCTTACTAGGCGAGCTAAATCACCGGTGGTGACTTCTGTATCGGTAACATTTATATTCTTGATGACAGCTGAAACAACGTTCAAAGAACGGTTCGGAGGGCTATGCCTGAGCGTGAACGCGCATGAAGCAGCCTGCTTGACCCGAGCAGCTCTCTTTTTCTGTGATTTTATAGAAAAACAGGCAATCACAATAAAAATGCCAGGGCTCATTCTACAGGACCAGGGTATTGCAGGAGAATGTATGAAGAAGAAATTTATTATTTCTATACATGTTTTGGCTGTCAGACTTCCATAATGCCCCTTTAAGGTCAAAAATCCTTGAGAGTGTTACCTCCAGCAAAATAACAAGAACATCAGATTCCTTTTCATCACTTGCAATGAGTGAAGAGGTAAATGTGTAAAAGAACGTTTATTAACTCATTCACTGCCAGCCGTTTCCTGATTGCTAACGGCCTTTGCTGCCAGCGTTTCTCACCGTTTTTACTGTTTTTTTAAGAGTTACAGAACGTTGCGTGCTAGGATGATGTCGACACCAAAACAACCAAAACAAAGCGGAGGCTCACCTCTTACATCAGGAAGAATCCGTGTGTTTTCAGCATTATCTGTTCTTTCATAATCCTTTGTCGAATTGTGATCGGCAGACGCTTTTCCGGTTCGCGCCTCACTTTTTTTACAGGAACGGCCCAAAACAATCTCCTAACACATTGATGTTCTGCTTCCTGATCACGTGACGTGTGACGTATGCGGATGAAGATCGGCTTCAGGGCTGAGATGTTTGTTCTCTCAGCGCGGGGGCTCGTTCTGATTTTCAAACAGTCAAAAAATGCAAATGACGACTTTAGTCGTCATTGGCAGTGAATGAGTTAATGCTGAAATTTTTGTAACCATTTGTTACAAATCAGTAAAACAATTTGTCCCCATGGGCTCTTGTAGAAAGAAACATGGCATCCAATATGGTGTCGCCCAGAGACTTAGACCCAATCCCATGTATTTTAGAACAGATTTTTATGGTTAAATGTTATGAAACCGCCAATATTTTTAAACAACTGAGCATCTTTTAATTCATATACAACATTTCAATGGATATTTCCAGAGAGTAATGGTAAAAACTACACATTGTCACTTTAAAGGGCTAAATCTCGGGTAGTGAGTAAAATACCTTATATTTTAAACAAACAGCCATGAATGATGATTTAGTCAGCCTGTTAGTGCAGGTTTCTGTGAGCAACTAATTGCAGCTTTGATGTGACTTTAAGATTGTCTCTTTTGTCTTTCCCAAGCATTTTGTTTCTTTTTTATTTTACTAACTGCTGAGTGATGTTGCTTCAGTGGCACTAGGAAGTCTCTGACTAGCTGAATAATGTTTGTTCTGCTCAGCATGTGGAAAGCAGCGGAGGTCAGTGTATGGGATGCAGGATCAGAAACGAAGAAAGTCTGGCACACTACTCTCCGTGGTCCTATGGGTCCACCGGGTCCTCCCTGAGCCCGTTTGAGCCTGAAGCTCTCACACACACATCTGCTCACTCTTGCTCGAAGCATCCGGTGAGACTCTTTGCACGCTCACACAATTAGCACACCTCTCAAATACTAACAAGTTTGTTCACATCCACGTTTTGCACTGATGCGGTTCTGATGCAGGAGTTGGACGGTACTGAAGGAGAAGCTGTCTCCAGGAAACAATGGCTGCACACGTTGGATAACTATAGACGTTTGAAAGAGGAGGATCCCATCATTCCCTTCAGCGAGGCTCCTATTATCTCCAAGTGGGGCGCCATTTCCAGAGCATCCCGCACGGCTTACCACAACACGGACCCGGTCCAAGCTACATCCTGCCAGGGCGGTGCCAACACCACGCCCATAAACTTTAAAGGTTTGGAAAACTGAAAAACTATTTTTAATGATTATTTTGTTATCAGTCACTTTGAGTTTTTCATGCAGGCTGAATATGAAAATAGTCTCCTACACCTATCCCCTACATTAGCTTCTGATAGAAAATAGACTGTGAAACTCCAGGAATTGAAAATCCAGACAGATCTACGGTATGTCACAATGTCACTTAACATTCATCGACCGTTGTGACTCGTGACGGTGAAGGCTGTTGTTGGTTTAGCATCCAGGAAAAAGCAGAGAATGTCTCAACTACAGCTAACTGATAGCGTTAGCCACTTGGTGATGGGTTAGGGACCCTGATCTTCTCCAGGCTTGTGTTATTTGTGGAGATAAAACATTCATGTCACAGATCGAACAGAGTCAGTGGTTTTTTTACCCCAAGTATGGCTTGCAAGCCATTCATTTCTACCAGAGACCATTTATAATGATAAAACGAGTGTTCAATACCCTTAAAGGTTAAAATGAAATAAGTGTATTTATATTCATTCTTTTTCATTATTAATTTTTAACTGCAGTTTTTAGATTATTCAACCTTGTTTGAGTTTTAGAAAATGTTTTGCTTCATTTTCATAATGTTCCAACAGATTACAACCACCATTTGGATCACGGTGACTATAGATGGGGCTCCAGGGGGTCTGATTCTTCTAGCCACTCCAGTTTCCTTGAGAGGTATGATATTTAAATGCAATTCAGTGATTAAAATTCTGCATTTTGCAGCAATTTTTCTATGCATGATGCTCTAGCCTTTTAAATCTGCTTGCTGCATTTAAAATCTGGCATAAATGTAGACTTGGAGACAAGATTAGTGTAGTTTAGTATTATTTATTAGACCAATCTCTTTTTTAACCCTTTTTGATAATTGCACATTTTAGTGAGCACCTTTGCACATCAGAGCTAGATGGCCGCCGAACTTCAATAAGTGGGGAAAAAATAGTGTCTGACCTGCAAGTTCGTCACCCCACCTTCAGCCAAGATCGGAACCAAGCAGGGGGTGAGCAGGACCCTGATCGGGACATTGAGCTTGAACTGAGTGCTCTGGATTTGGAGGATTCAGACCAGCATGAGACCAATTTAGAGGTTGGTTTGATTTTCAGAGACTGCGAGATTAAACCACAATCACCATATCTGCATGTTTCCTTTGACCTCATTCCAAATGCCACTGGTGCCTTTGGTTGAAATGTGCTTTAAACACAGCTCCCTGAATCATGCCTACAGTAAATCTTGTTGTTTCATCTAGGAGTCCTTAAATCTGCATAGCCCGCCCTCTCAGGATGCTTCCCACCTCCTCCCACCTCCCTGCTCATCTCCACTCTGCTCCTCGCCTGTAGACGAACACTCCAAGACTCAACGTCTTACAACAGAAAAGGTGGATCCTCACCTGCTGAAAAAAATGGCCTTTAGGTGAATTCACCTCACGTTTAGCAGGATTTTGTGTTTGACATGTCCTTGAGAATATTAGTAGCGAAAGTGTTTGCTGTATATTTTTATATCCTTTCTTTCAGGAAGTCTATGTCTCCAGGGGGGTTGGCCTCAGGAGGTCTGGGCATTGGGAAGTTGGTGCTGCGAACTGGACCTCCTCAATTGGGCAATGCCTCTAACAGGGTGTGTTCTGAAACACCTGGGACAGAGATGCTGCTCAATGGAAGCTAAGAAGACACAAAGTCTGACCTACACTGAGCTCAAGCTCAGCAGCTCTTAACCAGATCCTGGTAAAGGGAATAACACTTATTTCCAGCCTTAATAATTAAGTGTCTAAATAAGACCTGGCAATTATAGATTTTTAGTCTTTGTAGTGAAGACAGAAAACATGCTAAACTGCCCCAAAGTAGCAATTTTATAAAGAAATAGTTGCTGAACCTGGTGGCATTTCAGGGTTGGAAAGGCCACGTTATCAGCACCTGATTGGTCGCTTCTGAGAACCTTTGGCCAACCTTTTAGCTTCTTCTACTGCTCTAGCATGCCTTATTACAAACTCCCAGAAAGAAACCATACAAAAAACCCATTCACAGGTTTACTACTCAACATTTTAGTCATAATGTTACTAATACATATATTTAATTGTGAAATATTTTATGTATATTTGGACATCTAATTCTGGGGGGAAAAAAACATATTAATGGGCAGCGATTTACAAATGTGTAGAGTTGCTGTATATTTTAAAGCCTTTTTAAAATTCTAACTAGACTTTGAAGGTTTCCGCTGAGGGATTTGGTCAAGTTTAATTTAATTTATTACAATATCCAAAACTTTTAATACAAGTTCTGTTTTTCTTCTCGTATCCATATTGGAACATTTTTAGCCCTCTCAGGCCCAAAAAAAGTTTTGATAAAAGGAGAAACAACTAAGTCCTTCAGGGTACCTCTAAGTTAAAAAATGCTCATGAAATACGTATGTGGAGTAACCTGGTAGGTTTCAACGTTGCAAATCTGCAACGCCTGCCTCCAGAGGGTTAAGCTCCTTTTTGCTGTTTTTAAAAACCAAGTTCACTGAGAAACCGTTTTTTTCTTTTTACCTGTTATTTTTTAACTCATTTGCTGCCAGCCATTTCCTGATCGGTGAAGCCCTTTGCTGCCAGCGTTTCTCGCCGTTTTTACAGTTTTTTTAAAAGTCACAGAACGTTGCGCGCTAAAATGAGGTCGACCCCAAACAACTAAAATAAAGCGGAGACTCACCTCCTACATCATGAAGAATCCTCGCGTTTCGAGCTTCATCCGTTCTTTCATAATCCGTTGTTGTATTGTGATCGGCAGAAGCTTTTCTGGTTCGTGCCTCACTTTTTTTTTATAGCAGTGGCCCAAAACGATCTCCTAACACAAAGATTTTCTGCTTCCTGATCACGTGATGTGTGACGTATGTGGATGATCGGCTTTAGAGCTGAGATGTTTGTTCTCACGGTGCTGGGGCTCGATCTGATGCCCACACAGTAAAAAAATGCTAATGACGACTTTAATCGTGATTGGCAGTGAATGAGTTAAAGATGATTGGCAACTATTAATTTAACAAGCAGGCTAAATTTGAAAGTAGGCCTCTACCCCTATTTCTTGCATTAATCTCCGATAAAAAACAGACCGGGTACTGTTTGGCTTAGAAAAGTCACTCAGATCTGCATTGTACTGTAAAATTGCAGTCATGGTCTCACCCATCTAGACTTCCAACACAGGCTGTTGTTGATATAGTGCCCAGAAGAGAGCAGAGCTGAGCTACTAGAAGCTAACCGTTAACATTAGCAACTCCACAACATGGCAGAACTCTTTCAGGGTTGTGTTATTCGTGTAGATAAAACATCAATGCTGCAAATGGAGTCAGTGGTAGAGTTGAGTCGTCGTTATCCAATCAGAGGTGAGATGTTCGAATATCAGGAAGCAAGACTCCAAATCCTGCTGTTTTCTGCTCCCCACTCCTGCGACTAACTTCTACTTCCTGAAACAAAAGCGCCAGAGCTTCTTTTCCATGAAGATAGTCTCACAAGGCATTAATTTATGCTAGAGAACATTGCAAAATTAAGTGAACTTGGTCTTTAATTTTTTTTTGCATACTTAAACAGATAATGCATGATTTTGTAATTTCTTTAACGAGTACAACTCTTTACAGCCACATAATAACCCAAATCAGCCTTTCAATTTTTTTCTCTTATCTTTATCCTCCTGTTCAAATATCAGCCACTAATCCTGCTGATTGTAGGTTAAAATCAATCTCCTGCAAAGTTTGCAAAACCTGCCACGCATAATCTTTAGCATTGAACACAGTGGCCTTTCTGTCCTTAGCTTTGCTTCAGACAACCAACTCTTGTTATTTTCTCTTAAAAACACATAAAATCAAACACTGGAAATAACTTTTCTACATCCTTATGTTTCCAGTCAGGTCACTATGTGTTTGCAGTATTCTCTAGCTGTGTTAATGTTTAACAACATCGCCAACTAATTTTGAGGAACACCAACTCCAAACTTTCTTAATGTTCAAATTTCTGTTTGACTTTTTGAAAAGTTTTTGGTTCATTTTTATTTTTAGTAACGCTAACTTCTGTGAAGTTGTTTGTTGATGTGTTTTATAACAGGATGTTTCTCTTGTTTGCTTTTTTTTTTGTAGAGTTTTGTACTGAAGTTTATTCCTGATGGTGAAATGAGCTGCCATTAGTGATCCAAACATCTACTTCAGTCTTTTGTTACCATACATCCCTGCTGTGTTTCTTTTCTTTTTTATAATCAAGGAAAACATCATATCTGTTGATAATTTCATAAACAGTACGGAAACATTCATTATTTTCAAAAAAATCAGGATATAAAGTCATGAATTCTCCAATTTTTTTTTTACTCCTGCGTCTGATTATTAAGAGAATTTGTGAAATAAAATGAGGATTGTCAGCTGATACTTAAAATTAGCTTTGTAAGATAGCAAAGTTAAAAATGGAGGGTTTCCTACTTTTAGGAATAGAAATAAGGAACGCCTTACTGGACTAACTAAATTGTCATCAGGGAAAATGCTGAAACTAAACTTTAACTTCTCTTTTTTTTCTTCACTCAATTGCATCAAATCAGCAAGCTAAGCTAGTAATTTATGCTAGCAAGACCGTGGTTCACTTGCACTGAAATTTGCTTGCAGACTGAGATCATTGCTTGATAGCATTTAATATTGATTAAAATATGCTAAAAAGTCCTGTTAACTGCCATACAAATTTGCTAGCAGACAAATAATTTTTGAGCTAGCAAAGCATGCTGGGGAGTCCTTCCCATTGAATGGTTAGTGATGTATTCTCACGTGTCGATTGAAGTGAAATGTACAGCCAGGTTGAGGAGTAAAAACACAGCTTAGTATATAATTTATTTATAATCTACAAAGAAATTTACTGTAAATTTTAGAATATTAAACAGATCACTTGTCTTAAAAGGAATGTGCCATTTTCTTATTTAGGGGACTGTTGGAGACCCTAAGGCCTAGTGAGCGCTCTGGGTTAAATCCTACATTGACTACTCAGAAAAGCAAAAGGAGACGCCCATGGTGACTTATTGGAGTAATGCTCATTAGGAACGCGGCTTTTAGGTTTTATTCTGACCGTAAAAGGCAAGGGCTGATTTAGCTGTGATTGATTGCTGGATAAGTTTGGCTACCTGCTGCTTCTGTTTACAACTTCACCTCTGAAGTCATGTAAAGTCAAGTGCCACGCTGTGTACAGTACAATCAATCCCTACTGCTATTTTTAATCCCTACGTGGAGGACCGATTGGCTCGGCGAAGGCGAGGAGCGACATGCTTCTTTAGTGATCGGTTCTTGTCTGTGGGAATTGCTCAGGGAAGACTTCATTTGCTTTGGCTCGCGTCTCAGTTGAGTGACGCTCTCACCCAAAACATAAATGGGCTGGTTTTATTTTCTGATTGCTAGTATTGCTATTGCTATTTTCTTTGCTGGTATTTTTTTATTTCTCGGTATAAATATTGGCTTTGCCATCAGTGTTTTTATTAAGGGCTGGGCACATATTGGGCTGTTTGTAGGAAATATATATACTGTTGAAGTGGTTTGCCCTGTTTACAGTATTTATACCTATGGAGCATTGCTGTCATGGCTAATTGCACTGAACTAACTCCCACCACCATCACTGCCAGGGAGTCTACCCCCCCCCCCCCCCCCCCCCCCAAGCATGCATGCGGTATAGTCCCTCTTGTGATTGCAGAGGAGTTATGATGATTCTGTAGTTGTGATACAACACACCCAGCACTGTAAGAGTTCTCCACTGTGTGGTCGCGTCACGTGCTGAAGAAGTTTGCTTGCAGCTTTTTAATTGCTTGCTCATTATCTTTAATTATCATTTCTTAAAGGTTATACTATTATTGTCATTTTTATTACTGTTATAACCACATTTGGTAGCTTTGTGACTTTTTTCTTATCGTTCTATATCAGCTTTTTTTGTTTAGAATTTTTTTCTTTTAAAAAACCAGACAATGAAGCATTTCATTAATTTATGCTTGTTTGTTAACTGTGAAATAAATGATGACTGATGTTTTCTGAGTATTCATGTCTGTATTAGACGTTTCATTTGCAAATCTATTGTTTGATTGAAATGTAAATGAATTTTTAAAGAGATGGTGCACATCTGTCCTCGAATACAGTCTGGTGCCATCATTAGATGGACTTATATAGTCTTGATGCTCATTTTTACAACCTGTGCTACTCAGATAAATGTTTAAAGTTGTTGGAGTAGTTGTGTAAGGCTTCAGAACAAGGAAGATTAAATCCTTTGGGGGCACAACTTTTAAAATGTCCCCAAAATGAATATAATACTGTTACGTATTCCATTTATTTCCTTGGAAATATCACATTGTGAAAGGTTTCCCTTTTACTTACTGTATTTGTAATGCAGATGTGGAGTAAAGTCTAACCTATGGTGATGATAATTTATTTGCTATAAATAATAGATGAAGCAGACTGAGTTTTGTTTTACTGACTGACTGATAATTCTGTTGTTATCTGGCTCATTCAGCGGTATCACACTGACGTACAAAAAACGGCTGAGCAGGAAATCACTTCTGTGTTGCACTCAGAGACATAAAAATGGACATTACAGTACATGGAACTGCATGCTTTAATAAAAGATCAGCCATTCTTGTCTGCGTTTCTTGCGCTTTTTTGGTTTTATTCTTTGTTGGACAAAATAGATTTTCAAGAACAAAATCAAGGTTTTATTAATTAATGGCATTTTTTAATTTCATATTTATTAAAATGAATTGTGCAAAAAAAAGATACTTACAAATTGCTTATTTTATCCCAACAAAAGACGTAATAGTACTTGTACTTTTTAAAATAACAAGATTGGGTGAATAAAATACAGTTCAAAGTACACGTTTTCAACATAAACACAACAAACCCTTTACATCAGTTTTTAGAAACCACCATGATTAACTAATATTTCACCTGTTGTAAAAATGTTCTTTAAATAGCCTCTGGTTGGAGAAACAGAAATTATACCTGCAGACCAAAAACCTCCCTACATTTTATGCAAATAATATCAACTTTAGAATTATTCCAGGAGAATTAACAACAAACAACCCCCCCCCCCCCCCCCCCCCCCCGAAATTATCTCCCCAAGAATGATCTTTTTTATTTTTCATTTTTAAAGGGATACTATGAAGGTTTGGCTTGTTTTTGGTACCCTCTCCATTAGTGAAACCAAAATGTGAAATGTATCTCCTCGCTCAAAATAAGTTTTGATAAAAGGACCAACAACTAAGTCCTTCAGGGGTACTTTTGAGGAGAAAAATACTCATGAAATACTTATGTGGAGTAACCAGGTAGGTAGATTTTAACTGTTGCAAATCTGCAACACCTGCCTCCAGAGGGTTAAGTCCAACAGTGACTGGACTAGCACTCTGAAATTGCAAGTGCAACATTCTGGTCACAGAGGGCTGCGGGGGTCTGACTGACATTTCATTAATCGTGTAAAGGGTCATTTTAGCACATACTGGCTCAAGAAAATGATAAAAAAAAATATGAAAAGTTGTATAGAATGCCTTTAAAACATTTTTAGTCTGGCAAGCCATGTGAATACATAATTTGGACACAACCCATAGACAGAGCTTAATCTTCTGTTATTTTTTCAAACAGTTTTTGTGTGCTTTTGGACAACGTTCTCACCGCTATGGATATCAGTCAACAATGCAGTCTGCCGCACACTGTCCAAGAAAATGCAAATTCATCACTTTTCTAAATAAAGGAATTGGGTGCCTCTGTCTGCTCTTGACTCAAGAAAAGCCCAAGTCTAAATTGTCCAAAGTTGATGCCAAAGCCGTATCGAATGAGCCGCTGCCATCCTAGTTGTTTTTTTTTTAGTTGTATCATCCTGCCCACCAAACCGATAGAGCACTGTGATTGGCTCACTAAACCGATAGAGTGCTGTGATCAAAGCCGGATATTGCCATATCAGAGACATGGATAACACATAAAAAGGAAGGAAATTTTGAATTGCATGGATATGACTTTATCCACCAAGACAGAATAAGAAAAAAAGGAGGAGGGGTGGCACTTTATATTGACAAAAATCTTAATTACAAAAAAGCAGAAATGATGACAACTTCTATTGAGGGAGTGATGGAATGTGTAACTGTAGAAATAAGCATGGAAAAAAAGAAAAACATATTAGTTAGTTGTATATATAGAACACCAGGCTCTAAGATTGAAACATTTAAGAATAAAATGGAGGAGATGTTTACAAATTTGTACCAGAAGCGAGTATTTATTTGTGGAGATTTCAATATAGACTTGCTAAATCCAAATAAAAACAAAAGTACAGAGGAATGTATTGATATAATTTACAGTCTAGGTTTATTTCCATTGATAACCAGACCGACTAGAATAACATTACACTGCACTACTTTAATAGATAATATATTCACTAATATAACGGAAGAAAAGGTGGAACGTGGGTTATTAATAAGCGATATGAGTGACCATCTACCGGTTTTTGCTTCTTATGACTGTCATTATAAAAATGAAACAGAAGAAACTAACTATATGTATAAAAGAATGAAAACAGAACAGAGGTTAAATAGTCTTAAAAATGATCTATTAGAACAAGATTGGAATATTGTGTATGAAAAAAATGAAGTAGACCAAGCATATGATACCTTTTTAAATATATTTAAAAGTCAATTTGACAGAAACTGTCCAGTTATCAAAAATATTCAGAGGAATAAGTATAAAGAAAAACCGTGGATGACCAAAGGTCTACAAAATGCTTGCAATAAGAAAAACACACTTTACCGAGAATTTATAAAAAACAGAACTACAGAAGCAGAACAAAAGTACAAAAGAAATAAAAACAAACTCATAAATATAGTGAGAAGCTGTAAACGTGAATATTTTATTAAAAAGTTAGAGCACAACAGAAACAACATAAAAAGCATCTGGAAAGTATTAAATGGCGTAATTAGGAAAGAGACAGGGAATAATAACTATCCACAACATTTTATAGAGAGAAAAAATAATATTACAAACATGAATGAAGCAGTGGATGAATTCAACAAATATTTTGTAAGCATAGGATCTAAATTGGAGGAAAAAATAATAGTTGATGAGATACAAATGGATGCCACAGGGTATGTTGAAAGAAATAAAAATTCAGTTTTTTTTAAGAGCAGTTGATGAGAAGGAGATTTATGAGATAGTTAGAAATATGAAGAATAAAACCAGTAACAGACTGGAACGATATTGACATGAAAACACTGAAATGTGTGATTGAGGGCATTGTAAAACCATTAACACACATTTGTAATCTTTCTTTTCAAAAGGGTGTTTTTCCGAATAACATGAAAGTAGCAAGGGTAATTCCTGTTTATAAGACAGGAGATAAGCATCAATTTACAAATTATAGACCTGTGTCAATACTATCACAGTTTTCCAAAATATTAGAAAAGCTGTTTGTTAAAAGATTCGATAATTTCGTTGATCAATGTGAGTTGCTGACGGAATGCCAGTATGGCTTCAGGAATAATAGGTCAACAGTCCAGGCACTGATTGATCTTAATGAGGAAATAACAGAATGCATTGACAAAAAGAAGCATGCAATAGGGTTGTTTTTAGATCTGAAGAAAGCTTTCGATACAGTAAACCATGACGTATTGATGAGAAAAATGGAAAAATATGGTTTCAGGGGTATAGTATTGGACTGGATAAAAAGTTATTTATCAAATAGACAACAATATGTGCAAATAAATCAACATAATATCAGGACTAAGAGAGATACAATGTGGGGTACCTCAAGGATCAGTCTTAGGACCTAAACTATTCATAATGTACATAAATGACATTTGTAGGGTTTCACAAGTATTGAAGTTGTATTGTTTGCAGATGACACAAATGTTTTTTGCTCGGGTGTGGAATTGCAACAGGTCCTGGATGTGGTCACACAGGAAATAAATAAATTAAAAAAATGGTTTGATGTAAATAAACTGTCACTAAATTTAGAGAAAACAAAATTTATGTTGTTTGCTAATGAAAGAAGATACAATGAATTAGATATAGTAATTAATAATGTAAAAATTGAGAGAGTATATGAAATAAAATTTCTTGGGGTGGTCATAGTGAAAATATATGTAACTCTCATATAAGCTCTTTTATTATTCATTGTTATATGATACTTTTTTCATTATGGAATCATGTTATAATATCAAAGGCCTCTCTGTGCTTCTCTCCTGCATGAGCTCTAAACAGCTGCAGGAACTCCAAAAGGGAGTGAAAGTGTTCCTTCCTTCAGTTCCTCAATACAAGAACAACTGTCTTTGTTAGCAAAGGATGTTGCAGGATGTGTCCTGGTCATCTCAAGGTTGCATGTCCTTGGGATGAATTGGTCTTTCATTAACAAGGCTATTAGCTGACGTGCGTCTACAGGTGCAGATGGCAGAATTACGTGTGTGTATGGCAAACTGCGTATGTTACATTCCTGTGCTTTTCAATAAAAATCAGCCGTTTCAGCAGAACGGCGAGAGTCTGTCCGAAGCAACTGACGGGAGCAGGTCGCGGGACCTGCTGTATGTTGCAAAGGCTCTCCCCCTCATGAGCGGTGAAAACAGTGACTGGACTTCTGATCATTTGTCTCCACATTCTGCCAACTCAAAAGGTGTTTAACTCCATCTTCTCCGTACCCGTGCTTGGTCTAACAGAAGAAAGACCAACAAATTTGGCGTCACGAACAGGATTTTTTCTTTTTGAAGAAAAAGGAGTTTTTGGAGGACAATTTGACCAACCGACCCAGTGAACGATCTTGGCACAGAACACCGCGGTGGAAAACAAGGTGAGCAGAACCTTATTTTCTAAAAACTGCTCATTGGATTTATCCAAAGCCTTTGTGTCCAGAATCATAGTAGCTGTGGTCCTAAAAATAATAGTTGGAGAAGAAAGTGGAGACAAGTGCAGAAGAGATAAGAGATTTTTGTAATGGTTTAATGGTGAAATAAGATAAGGATTTTTACAATGGTTTAATGATAAATGAGATAAGGAAATAGTACAGAAGAAGGGTTGGAGGCCCAGGGTTATTAGAGAAGCCCTAAATTCCATTTTCCAGGTCGTGGCTGACCACACTATTTGCTGACGAGCGAATAGAAAATATAACGAGGTTATATTAAGCTAGGGTAGGGCCTTAGGGGTGGGAACCCTAAAATACTGCAGGTCAGGGACCTGGTTCGGGTTAAGGCCCTGGGAGGCTAAAGAGAGCTCCCTAAATTTTGAAGCACAGGTCAAGGACCTGGTTTAGGTTAAGGCCCTGGGAGGCTAAAGAGAGCTCCCTAAAGTTTAAAGTACAGGTCGAGGACCTGGTATGGGTTAAGGGCCTGGGAGGCTAAAGAGAGCTCCCTAAATTCGAAAGGTCGAGGACCTTTGCATGAGATGAGAAAAATGTTCTAAGGTAACTGTTTTTGCATAAAATGAGCAATGTTTAAATATGACAAGCAGCCCAGTTGAAGCCACGAGAAATAAGGTTTTATTGAGAAAGTCAGCAGAAAAGGCGATGAAGGAAAAAGGGGTAGATGTTAACAGTAGAGGTAACTGGACCAAGATTTGGGAAGTGAAGGCTGCAGAAGCGAGAGAAAAAGGCACAGCTGTAGAGAAGCTTC